TTGCTGGCCAGATGGAATTGATCTTGGAGAAGCTGATAGCACGGCTCGGTGGAATTGTCCACATTATTTGTCTAATTGGATTCACCATATTGAGATGTAGCAGCAGACATTGAAGCAGATGGAGAATTGTCATCGTCTGCCTGACTCTTCTGTTCCCAAAACAACTGATTACAGAACCTGGCTCTCTCCTGCATGGCCTTGAGCTGTGGAACTAAATCTTCCTGGATGTTTACGTCGACTGAGGGTCTGCCCCACACCTCCCCCCTCTCACACTCATCTGTGATTTGGTTCCTGGAGCAGGCTGAAGGCCGCACAGAATGAACAGTTAACCATATTCTGAACTATGGCTGTGCTGGTTTTGGGGACTGGATTCTTCAGGCTCATTCTTCAGATATTCACACACGTAAACAACACTCATGGCTTCAGACACGCCCCCCTAAACTCACTTATTCCTCTGGCTAATAAATCTACTCTATGCAGAGGGTTTTTTATAAACACCATAGTGTGTCACAGTGTTGGTATAATATGCTGTTTTGTTTTTTTCCCCTCATCTATCCTTGTGTGGTTTTTAGTTTTTCTGTTCAGGGTAGCACCTCCTCATGATGTCTTCATGAATATGAGCCTTGCTCTGTGCAGGTCAGTGACTGCATGACCCAGAGCACCTGTTCTCCTATGTTTGTTATGTTCTGTCTTCTTCTGAATGGCTGTTCTGAACTGTAATTTCATTGTACTCTGTACAATGACAATAAAGGTCTAATCTAATCTAATCTAATCTAATCTAATCTATTTAATAAAGCTGGCAAAAAATGTTAAAATATATTCATCTCCTTCATTTTCTTTAAGTCAGGATGTTATAAAATATACTCAGTAATTACTCAGTAGTTACTGAGTAGGTTTGGCAGTACCTAGTACTAGTATCTAAGTAGTTACAAGAGGTTTGGACCCAGAGTAACCACTCAGTAGTTACTGAATAGTTCCTCTTTGGTGTCCTCTGTTACTATTTAGTAACTACTTAGTTATTGAGTTGTTACCAAGTTGTTTCTAAGTACTCAGAAGTCCCTGAGTAATTCCTGTTTGGTGTACTGAGTAGTTACTGAGTAGTTAAACGTTTTTTGTGTACCTCACTGTAAAGTGTTACCCTGTTAAGAACTTTTATGGAAAGAATATCAGAGGGAGTCCAGTTTGGTGGCCTCAGGATTCCATCTCTGCTGTTTGCAGATGATGTGGTTCTGTTGACGTCATTGTGCCATGAAATCCAGCTCTCACTGGAGTAGTTCACTGCTGAGTGGTTCACAGCTGGGATGAGGATCAGCACCTTTACATCTGAGTCCATGGTCCTCAGTCAGAAAAGCTTGGGTTGGTCTCTCCAGGTTGGGGGTGAAGTTCTGCCTCAAGTGGGTCAACTATCTCAGGGTTTTGTCCATGAGTGAGAGAGGAGTGATGTGTGAGGTTGACAGATGKCTCTGTGAAGCTTCAGCAGTATTGTGGACTCTGTACCGGTCTGTTTTGGTGAAGAGGGAGCTGAACTGTTAAGAAAAGCCCTCTGCCTACAGATCAGTCATTCCTATGCTCACCTATGGTCACAAACTTTGGGTAGCAGCTGGGCTGTCCCTTAGAGATGGGGTGAGAAGTTCTGTCACCTGGTAGGGACTCAGAATAGTGATGCCACTCCTCTACATCCAGAGGAGTCATTTGAGGTGGTTCATCTGGTTAGGATGACTCCTTAAGGAGGTGCTTCAGGCATATCCGACTGGGAGGAGACCCAGAGGAAGGTCCAGAACACGCTGGACTGACTATGTCTCTCGGCTGGCCTAGGAACATCATGGACTCTTGCCAGAAAAGCTGGAAAAGGTAGCTAGGTGGCCTCTTTGCTCTAACTGCTGCCCCCAAACCCAACTCTGTAACAAGAGGTGGATGATGGCTGTGGGTATATGGGGTCGATGCTCTGTCTCTTATCAGTTCAGGGATCCAAAATGTATGAAATGTAAAAAAAAACAAAACAAACAAAACAAGATTTTTCAAGGATACTTTACAGTTTGAACCGGTCGACAAGACGACAGAGTCTTCAGGATGTGCTGTCGGATCTCAGTGGTTCTAAATCCATAGATAATCGGGTTGAAACAGCTTGGAAAGAAGAGGTACATCACACTGAGAAAGACTCGAGCTGCATCCGGGATGCTGTTTCTGATCCGATACATGATAGTAGTTGCCAGGACAAATGCCAGATTGATGATCATAACAATGATGTGAGTGATGCAGGTGTGCAGTGCTTTTTTACCAGCTGTTCCTGAACGCAGCACAGAGTAGAATATGACCACATACGAGATGGAGATRAAGCAAAAGTCCAGCACAGTAATTAAAAATATTGACATCGACCCAAGCAGACTGTTGATGGCAGTGGAACCACAGGCTAGTTCCACCAGAGCCATGTGCTCACAGATACAGTGATTTATGACGTTAGAGAAGCAGAAGGGCAACCGTCCTGCTAGACTCACCACTAATGTCACCAAGAGCACATTTCTGCTCAGAAGAGGTATCACAAACCTGAGGAATCGAGGTAAAGACAAGTGTTCCTGGTAGTGGAGGGGCTTACAGATGGCAAAGTACCGGTCCAAAGCCATCAGGACCAGCACAGTGGACTGACAAGTTCCTAAAAGATAAATACAAAACATCTGAGCCAGGCAGCCACTCAGATATATTCCCCTCATGTCAAACAGCAGGTTCACTGTCAGGTACGGCAGGATGAGCAGTGGAGGACTCAGGTTGAGGCCCATCATGCAGGCAATCAGGATGAACATCGGAGAATGGAGGCTCCGCTGAGAAATGATGACATAAAACAACAAAGAGTTGGCAAACAGCGACACGATGACCAGGAAGAAGAAAGGGATGAAAACGAGCGGTTTCAGAGCTCCGAGGTCACTGAAACTATTRAAAATAAAATACTGGTGTGAGGAGATGTTTCTCCACTTAGACTCCATCCTCTKCTCCTCCTAAACCCWCCTGGTCCAGAGATTCAGGATCAGCCTGACAGAAACAAAAACAGAGAAAACTCACTGTCTTCATCAAAAYAAGAAACATTTTCCATAATGAGAATCATAGATGTCATACATCAGAAAATATCATCTTCCACTGCCCATCAGGATGATTCTCACCCTGAACCCTGACTTCTGATTCTTTATTTTCCTGTGTGTACCCCAGCCACTTCCTGAGCTCTGTTTTCGTCATGTGTTTAACTGTGAGGGTCCCGAAAATAATTTTAAAAACTGCAATGAAATAAAAAAGACCTCAAGTCAAACAAAGAGTGTTTTGTCAGATGAGTCATTTTTCACAACCTGATCTGGTTTTACATTTTGATTGAACATTTGGAGTCTTAAGAATTCTTGTATTTATGTTCTTTTCCCCACATTTAACAAGACGTTTGGACCGAGATTTTCATAAAAAACGCAATGAGTTCAAGAAACTAAAYGAATTTTTATCTTAAAGAAACTAAAATGCTGTTGTGGCAGCTAAAATTTAGAAAAGACTAATGAATAAAAACTAAAGAGAACAATGAACATGGAGAATACACACTGAGGCCCAGTGAGAAGAGTGACAAGCAAACTGGGACCAGTTTAAACTGAGTGACTGAGGAAACAAACCAACTGTGGAAAAGTACTGAGAGGATAAACTGATGACTCAGAGGAACACAAGAGTCTCAAACTTAATCCTAAAACACTAAAAACAAACAACAACAACAACAAACATCCTGTCTGGTTTCTTAATGAGCTCTTCTGATTGTGGATGTGCTGAATGTTTGAGGAGGATGTGAGTCCATGAAATATCTCTAAAGTCCTGTTTACAGTGCAGAAGAAATTAGACCTGATAAACACATAAATAACAACAAATAATAAACACAAAGTTTRTAGCAGAACATCTGAACAATGAGAGACGAGTTAAAGACGACAGCTGAGTGATTCAAACAAGACGTGATTAACGTCTCAGTCCGGGAACTTTGTGTTAAATCAGCTGAAAAACAACAACAAACATCAGCAGACTGCACCATCATCATCATCATCATCATCATCACCATCATCACCATCACCATCATCATCATCATCATCATCATCACCATCATCACCATCACCATCATCATCTGTATGTCACTAAAGACAACATTAAAATACAACAGTTTAATATAATACTTCATGTATGAATGATAAAATATAAAGTAAATTTAAAGCTGAATTAGTTTTCTTTAATCTCATTTAAAACATTTGAGGAACTTATTGTTCAAAAAGTTTGATAATTTTGTTGATTTTGTTTGAAGTCTGGAGGAGGATTTTTCTCCTTCTTTAATTTTAATGTGTCCTGATTAAAACAAACTAAAACTAACAAATAGAACAATTAACACAAAATAAGACCTAAACTTTAGACCTGACTCCCATTTTTACACATCTGGTGGCGTTCACATTTTAAATTACAGCAGAAAAACTAAAAAGGATATCATTCATTGTTAAAAACAGTTAAAAAACATTGTTTACAACAAGACAAAGAAAAGTCAGAGCAGAATAAACTTCATTCAGTTGAACAGAGGCTGAAAACCTGAAACCAACTGATCTGAAGCAGTTGGAGCACAGAGCAGCTTCCTTCAGTCCAGATGTTAAAACATGAAGCTCCTGGAACATTTCCAGAAGAATCAAGAGGTTTCAGTTCTGACTGATGGTTCTGTTGGGTTTGACCCAAAGCTCTGCAGCTGGTTCAGCTCTACAGAACTCCTGCAGCTTYACCTGTTGTTGGTTGGTGATGAAGATGTTCCCACTGTCTGTGRAAACACTGACTCAGCACTTTTAAMCCCTCTGTATGAYGCTGCGATTGGTCGAAGGTAAYGAACAAGACAATGAAAAGTTTAAAAAAACTTTACGTGGTTAAGCTGGTGTGGAAAACACAAATTAAACAAAAATGTTTTTGATTTACATATGTTTATGTTTTATATTGTTGGTGCTCATTTTATGTCAAATATGACGCTAATATTTTTCCACTTGAGATCAGAAAAATTAACATTTCTTTAATAAATTAAAAGGTTTTCCTTTAAATAAGAATGATTTTCATGATTTTATTGTTATTAAAACAAGACATGATTAAAGTCTTAGTGTTGGAACTTTGTGTTAAAACAGCTGAAAAACAACAACAAACATCAGGAAACTGCACCATCACCTGTCAACCAAAAACATGATGGTTCTGTTGGGTTTGACCCACAGTTCTGCAGCTGGTTCAGCTCTACAGAACTCCTGCAGCTTTACCTGTTGTTGGT